CCAGGCACAAATTCATGCCAAGTGTTTTTAGGAATGATAATCTCTAGACTGAATTTTTCAGTTGTTCTCTTTCTCTAGGAACACACATGCTCTTACTGCTCCCCAACACTTAAGATCGAGGACAAAGGAAAATATCACCTGAGATCATCTCAGTGCAAGAAAGCCTGGGTCTGCCAGTTGTGGAAAGTGGCTCTGGATGTAAGGGGTTTAGTGCATCCTCCTTACCTTGTCCTGAGTCATCCCAGGTCCCAAACCATGTAGTGTTAATTCTTTTTGTAATAAACTGACAAACCAGAATCACAGAACTACCTGAATTTCGTTAAATGGGTTAGACTGGCAGACACTTGTCACTGAAGGTGCTGCTCAGGAGAGGAGATTACATACTGGACCCTTGAGCATTCCCACTGCTTAATTATTAGCACCTTTTCTGCCCATGTTTTGGACCACTTCAGAGAGCTCTGTTGTCTGAGACAAGGCTCCTGTGGAGGGTGAGGAGACTGGTATGAGCTCCTCTGTGCTGTTGGGTGCTGGTGCTGAGGCTCAGCTATATTGTGAAATGCATAAATACTGTTTGTTGTTTCCCTGGTGGGGACTCTTAGGTGGTTAAGAAACATCCCTTGCATAAATCAATTAGACTGTATATCTTCATGTGAAATCCTCCTAACGTCTCACAGGTAATTGTGTTAGCATGGTATAAAACCACTGTGATACAGGGATCATCATAAAATATTGGTGGGGATGTCTGCAGAATAATTTCTGAGAGACAAGGTGGAGTATTGGTCTGGAAATCTCTTTCTGCACGTTTTTTTCACTGGGATCTGTGATACTTAATGTAAGACATTATTTGGTGCTTGATTTGGCTCGAATTAAAATTCACAGCTCTTCATGTATTTCTGCTGTGATAGTTAAGGTTGTCTGAGGCCTTTGCAGAGTCATCATCTACACTAGAAATCCACAGCCTTGATCTCAGTCTTCTGTGTATCTAAGACATTAGCTGCACTTGCCAGTTTTTCCTTACCTTTGCTCTATGGGATTGACCACAGTACCAGTCCCACAGTCCCTGCTGCATTTCCTTGAATCCCTGCTCTTTTGAGCCTGACTTTGTGCATCCCCATCATCTAATTAGAGGCAAAACAGTAAAGGGAAACAATCTTCTTGCAGTTTAGATGAAGAAACCTAATGTGCCTGGTTTTGGTGCAGTTTAAATTAATACACAGATGAGAAGTGGACCATAATGTTTGCATTAATCCTAAACATCAGCATTCACAGACCATTAAATGTTTGATATTCTTCCTGCATTAATAGCGTTAAAAACTGATGGGTTGTGTTTGTCACCAGTTTCCAAGGTAATTGAAGTATTCTAGGGGCAACTGAAAAAGGTCTTTTCACAATTATTTTCATCTAATTTGTCTAGTTGCCTGTTTTTTTGGGAAGGGATTAGCAGTGTTTACGTGGAACTCTTCCAAATGCATCAGGCAACATCTGTTGTTTATCAAGGTATCTTCTGCAAACCTTCAAAACTAAGTGATTACATTGGTAAGGAATCTGCAGGTTTTATTGAGAGTAATGTATTCTGGGTATGTTGATTTAAAAATGTATTCCAAGTTTCAGGTGAGGAAGTAGACAAGTGTTAGGTGACAGCACACGGGACAGGGAGGATGTAAACCCAAGCTGGCTGGAATAGGCAGCTCAGTGTTGAAGCACAGATGGAAGGGTAGGTATATTTTGGTCTTTAGATATGCTGGAGGACTGCTAAATTAATACATTTATTGTAGATTTTATATTTGGTGCACATTATTCTGTATGACTTGTGGTGCTTCAAAGGAATGTGTCATAGTCCTGTTAGTATTTTTCAACTCACCCGTTTAATGCGAGTGGCTTGTGGCAGCATTACTTCGTCATCCTTAAGTCTCCTCTAAGTAGTAAACACAGGCAAAGCAGCATTAGTGCAGTGTTCTTGCTGAACTGTAGAGCTTAAAGACTTTCATAAATTCAAAGCTCATGAATTAAAACTCAACATAATTCTGAGTTAGGGGAAATTATAGATGGGGAAGTACAGTACATGATTTCCCAAGACCACAGGGTAGTGCAGTAGTGTCTGAGGTCTCTCCTTGGGCTTAAATGACAAACCAATTCTCCTTTTTGCTATGCTGTTTGGCTAACACAAGGCTCGTACAGAATCCTTTGGTTAAAGCCTCATGAATGTTAAGCAAACGTTTTATATAGTATGGAAAAGAGAAATGTAGATATATAATAATTTTTTTCATTCAGAATCACTAACATTGGAAACTATGTCTTGGGAACAGGTGATGACTTCTAGCTCTTGCACATCTTCCCAGGGAAAAACGCACTCTGGTTTATAAGGGACTCTAGAACACTTCCCAAGCTGGTGTTTCACATCTCATGACTCCCCAGATGCTTTCTCAATCAAGTGTGCAATTGTACTGCCCCCTGTGGTGTCTGGGCTGGTTGGGTCTCCAGGAAGGAAACAAAGGAAAGGGCAGGAAAACTAAATAATTTAATTTTTTTGTGGTCTAGCAGCAGGTTTAGCTGTTGCTGATCTGATTGAGCAGAGAGGATTTAATGCTTTAGGGGTACATAAAGGCAGGAAGAGCCCTCACAGAGAGAAGAAAAGAAAAAACTCTCCTAAGAGGAAGGTCTTCTGAGAAACGACGTTAGAGAACTAAAATAGAGCAATTAGAGGAAGGAAGTCCATGTCCTATATATACAGAAAGGGAGGGACATCTTCTCCATAGTAACAGGGGGAGCAGGGGAGGAGGAAAAGGACAACACAAACTGCAAAAGGTGTTTTAACAGACTGTGTAGGAAAGAGAGATTTAGAGGTTGCTCTTACCTGTTTGCAGGACCTGTGGTTTTGGTGTGATACAAAATCCCTTTTAAAAAAGTTTGCTAAGCAAATGAAATGAGGATTCATTATTTCTGGACAATTATAAAACTTGTGCTTTAGTATTTGTACTTTATATTCTAGATGCCTTATTACAAGACTTGAAGCTTGGTTGTTTCTGTTTTCTGTATTTTCTATGTATGTTACTGCTGTGTATTTGTATTATTACTGTGTAGTTCCAAGATGTTTTGGCACTGGAATACAGACAGATTTTGGAACAATAATTAATACATGGAAATTAGGTGAGGTGGTGTGTGTCTGTAAGTCACACTGGTGTCACAGGAGTAGTCACTTGCATGGGAATCACAGGTATCCTGAAGGTTGGGTCTGTTCTGAGTCTCCTGATGTGGTTTTGCCAATGCACTGAGAATCATCTTTTGCTTCTCCCCCCCCCCCACTTACTTCTTG